ATGAAGTAAAGTGGAAATTGGCGGTCTAGATAATGGCCCCCACCCCCGACGGGGGGGGGGTTGAAAGAGGAGGTCTCCACCACCACTGTACCATAAAAAGTTCATGGCGGTCGCACCCCCATAAAAGGTTATGGGGGTTCAAAGTTAATAAAATAAAAAAATTAATTTCCAGGCATGTAAATATTTATGTAGTCATTCTTAAACAATATTCAAAGGTAAAACTAATGAAAACTACATAAAAATATTGAGACAGTTATTTAAAACATTTAAATATCTTTATCAATAGGTTAGTTTAAGTTAGGTTATCGGGTTTTGTCCAAGTGACCACCCTCTTTCGATCCCCCACCTCCACCCGCTTGAAAATATTTTTTTTATTGAATATTATTTGAATTATAGTGTATGAAAATTGTCAAAATAATCAATTTTCAACCCCCATAACTTTTTATGGGGGTGAGACCGCCGCAAACTTTTTATGGGGTTTTACTCAAGTGACCACCCTCTTTCGATCCCCCCTTCCCCCACCCCAACTAACCCCCATAACTTTTTATGGGGGTGAGACCGCCGCAAACTTTTTATGGGGTTTTACTCAAGTGACCACCCTCTTTCGATCCCCCCTACTCCCACCCACATCTAACCCTAATAACTTTTTATGGGGGTAAGACCGCCACGAACTTTTTATGGTACAATATTGGGGGAGACCTCCTCTTTCGATCCCACCCACATCTAGACTTTTACCAAAAAGATACTTGAAAAGCTACATCTAACAATTTTAAGAACTGAAAGGATGTTTCTGAAAAGCAATATAATTACTGACTATCCATTAGACGTCAAATTAGCTAAAATTTGCTTATCAGTCAAATTAAACAACGAAATTACAAATTAATTAGTAGAAAAACATTATTCTAATTGGATTTCGTCAATTGGTAATTAAAACTAAACAAGTCCTTTACAAAATAAAATAGACTTTTGTTTCTATTTCGTGGTATTGACTTTAATAATTACTTTCAAGATCAATTTAAAGTCAAAATAAAAACTTAGTACCTACAATTAGTTTGTTCAATATTTTCTGGTTATATGGATTTACCTACTTATTTAATTATCTGGGGTCTCTATTCCAAGCAAATATACTGGTAATCTTGATGTGATTCATTTTTCTATCAATTATGATTACGAAAAAAGCGCGCAACAAACTCATGAGCACGTCGATTTGTGGATAATTACGTTGTTCTTGTCAGTTATACAGCGTGTCACAGAAATAAGTGCCAAGCTTGCAGGAAGTGATAGAGCACTATAAAACACTAAAATTAGGTAAATGGTTATATCCGAATGATCACCGTTTTGGGGACAAACGTAGTTAAAAGTACAGGTAAATTAAATTTCGGCTCTGATTCATAAAGACGGTCTGCAACGCTGTACTCAATAACAGCATCAGTGTAGTATTTGTTTTGTATTTTTTTTGCTTATGTATTGTTTATTTGTTAGATTAGATTAAGTAAGATTCAGGATGTTTATAGTAACAGCCAACCTCTAGTAACCCTATCTTTTAACGCTTAAACCTTGTACTGTTCAATAAGCTAATTCAGCAATACAACGAAAAGTACTGCTGTATAGCCTAATTTTTTTCAAAGGGTGTTGTTCACAGACTTTGCTTCACGTGGGACGAAATTTTGAATAACAATAATCACTATTGGTACGACACAAATTAGTACATCCTTCACAATTTCAAGAACTGTTTTCAGTAATGACGTGGTGCAAAATTTTTGGATATTTATTCAACTTTTTTGGTAAGTTTACCTACAATCACCAGCAAAAAGGCAACGCACCTTGGCAATACCTCAATAGTGTGGATATTATCCTTAATAAAATTACAATTATCCAGATGATGCATATTTACCGATTAGATGATGTTTACGTAACTTACATTTTTTTCTTTCTTTTGTATCCTTGCACTTGCACAGCGCTACCTGTAATGTACTTATTTAATTTATTTGTTTATCTTAATCGTTCTATAATCGGCAATGTTTACTTCTCCATCCATGTAGCTGCAGCGTTTTTATTGAACTCGCACTACGCTATTCAGTATTCAGTATTAGATACCTATGCTACCAGTTCACGCACAGGACCGGCTTCGGATTGTAAATTATTGATTTTCTTTAAAAAATGTCGTTAACCACGCTGCTGAACTCCCGTACGATTGTTTATTGTATCTAGTTTACACTCTCTCGGCACATTTCTGTTACACCTTGTATTTTCAATAAAATTATTTAAAGCATTTTTCTTTAAGGGGAGCCTTTTCAAATTTTAGACCCAGGCCTCGCTTCAATTAATGCCGGCACCTCACATATTAATTAGGAAAGCCATTTCTAACATAACCTAGAATGATCTGAACGTTTTTTTTAAATTTGTTTATTAAAACTAAAATAAATAACCCCGATGTATCTCTTATTGATTTTAATGTAAAAGAAACATATCTAAATATGTATCTAATTATAGGTAGTTGCGATTAATCCAATTTTACTTGTAATAAAAATGAAAAATGAACAATACACAGTCAAACATCTGAAAAAATGTTCATAAATCTATACATAGTTACTGGGCTTGTATGCAAATAATGAAGGAAATTTCTACAAAATTTAATTAATTTATCTGGTTTAGTAGGAAAATAATAATAATCACTAAATATTCGTTTGCAAAGTTGCAAAACGACCATTAAAAATAATTTCACAATTAACAGATATTAACAGTAAAGGAAATTATTAGGAAAGTACAAGATAAGCAACCACATTGCTTTTGATACCTACAACTATGTAACACCAATTTGCTTCAATGCCTGCATTAATTTTAATAAAACTTTCGAGGCACATATTCTTAAAAACTATTGGTAGAAAATGACACAAACTATTTGGTAATTTTTTACATTAGTTGACATTGGAATTGAGACATGATGTTTAGTCAGGTAGGCAGTACTCACCAACTAAAGTAGTGTGGTAGTATTTATTAGAATTTTGTTTATTATTTGTTTAAAAATCAATGTGACTGAGATACAGGCTGTTAAAATTTTCTTAATCGGAGAAAATTCCGGTAGGTACGGCCCTGGCTTCAGCCTTCCGTCAGCTGTTCCCACCAAGCTTCGTTTGTCCTAAAAGATATCCTCGTAACATTATTCCAACCTATCAGCCCGCCTTCGGCGAGCAGGGGCTTTAATGAAACTCCAGTCTATCATAACTCTACCTAACTAAACAATGACGTCATCAATGCATATTTGGCGAGAACAGCTGACGAAGGGCTGCAGCCAGGGCCGTACTAACCGGAATTTCCTCCAATTAAGAAAACTTTAGGAGTCTGTATCTCAAGCTACATTGATTCCCGCATGGAATTAATACTACCACACGATTCTACTTGGTAAGTACTACCTACCTGACTAAACTGCATGTCTCAATTCCAATGTCAACTAATGTAAAAAATTACCAACTATTTTAATAATGTTTCCAGCCTAAAGCAAATTCCAAAAATTATTTTTTTCCCTTTAAAAAATCTACGTAACTTTTTCAAAAGTAATAAAATTTAAGTTTCAATATTTATGTGCATACTTGTCTTTTGAAAAAGTACTATAAAATAGAAAAAACAAAGCAACTATTATATAATTATAATAAATTCTGTTAAAGAAAATTGTTAGCAGCTAATAACAAAATTCTTTTCACCTACTGTAGAATCAGGTACATTTACTGAACATTGTTTTGCTAACGCAAATATTTCATTTTTGAAATATTATGGGTAACAATAATAAAATAAAAAATTCGCATGGTTAATTATTCATGGTTTACTTAAAGGACACTTTTATTATCCCGAAATTGTTATGCATGTATGCACATAAAGTTAAAATGATAATTTGCTATTATTTTGTCGCTAATCGGTCGTGATAAAAAAACATTTGTAGTTTATTATTTTAACAAAGTATTACATAGTTTGCTAACTTGATAAAACATAAGCTAATAGGCGATTGAAATTAAGTAATTGCAATTCAATAGGCACTGATTTCGCCACAAGTTCTTTCGGGTATAGGTCGGGTAATCCCCAACTACACAACTCACTTGCCAACTTCCTACGGGTTATTTGCACGTGATATATTTAGTCTTACCCGTTTCCGGGGACATTACCACGAAATCGCTTCTTTTGTAAACAAGTTGGGAAATTCCACAGCAGTAAATTCGGTAAAGGTCTAGATGATGGCACCCACTCCCTTGGGAGGTGGGGATGGGGGGATCGAAAGAGGAGGTCTCCCCCACCACTGTACCATAAAAAGTTCGTGGCGGTCTCACCCCGATAAAAAGTTATGGGGGTTCAAAGTTAATAAATATGCCAATTTTTATACATTTCCAGNAAGAAACTCCAGTCTATCATAACTCTACCTAACTAAACAATGACGTCATCAATGCATATTTGGCGAGAACAGCTGACGAAGGGCTGCAGCCAGGGCCGTACTAACCGGAATTTCCTCCAATTAAGAAAACTTTAGGAGTCTGTATCTCAAGCTACATTGATTCCCGCATGGAATTAATACTACCACACGATTCTACTTGGTAAGTACTACCTACCTGACTAAACTGCATGTCTCAATTCCAATGTCAACTAATGTAAAAAATTACCAACTATTTTAATAATGTTTCCAGCCACTGGTCATT